TCCTGTATTTATCGTTCTTTTACTACAAATTACTTTAACTGCTATACAAAATTAGCTTAATGTGTATGTCGATACCATAAATGCTCACTTAGTTTGTTATTCAAAATTGTGAAATTAATTTATATAATAGTGTAAACAAAAATTCAGTGTGTTGCGCTAGCTTTAAGCTACCATCCAGTGCGTAAATTAGGTAATAATGAACAAGAACTTGGCTTCCTAATCCGATAAATTACACATCATAAAAAGTGCTATCAATATGGAAACATTTTAATTATAGAGAATCCAAATAGCGCCTGGTTTAGAAGCCGCCTTTGCATGTAAACAACGCTGTTGTTCATTCAGTTGTAGTTAAACTGACGTCAAACTCAGCCGTTACCATAAAACCGTACTTTGTAGGAGTTGTATAGTTTTTTGTGCCAAAATTACAAACGAACATTTTATACCCCACCTGTCGATAGCTAATGTTTCATTATTCTCCAACAACGATTCCTTCAAGTGCATACCGTTCTGGTTTCATGCTGCCCTGCGGCTCAAACTCTCGACGAAAAACTTGGAATAATTAATATTTTATTACTTATTGTTAGAGACAGACTTCATAAGATTGTTGTTTTGTAATTGCAAAATTTATAGATGTGCGGTTTTAACGAGTAAGATGATAATGATTGTAAATTTGTTAGGATATTTCTTCAGCATAATTAACCTCATAGAGAAATATTTTTTGGAATATAAGTTTTTTTCTAATTTAAGGAAGTCGACGGTTCTTTGTCGGAATTAAGTTAAGAATTAAGTGGTGACCGGTCTTAGTACTTAGTACTTGTTTAGATAAATTTGGCTGTTATGTTGAGAGTCTTGGATAAAAGCTATGTGTACTTAAAATTTTACGTGTCTGTCTACACTTTGTAACAACAAAAAAAGACAGTAAACACTAGCTTCTGTCGTACTGTTCATATAAGTGTTATAACGAAGTTGTCCAAGGGACGCCACCTGCTATTTTAACTGTACGACGGTGAAAAAATTAGAAAGCGCCCAAAAAAAGGTTATTTAGACAAATCCAGCGTTTTCAAAAAATTATAAAATTTGATTTTGCAAAATTTTATTTATTGTGATAACCCATATATGTTAAAAAATATAGGTGATACCAGTTACAATCTAAGAAAAAAAGTGGCCTATGGAGGGATCAAACACATGACCGTCGTGTTATTATCAAGGGTTCAGTGAATTAAGCTACCACTATAAAACCTATGGTAAAATCTCAAGGCGGTTTAATAAACCACAATTACAGGCCATGCTACTCTATAAAATTTAAGTAACACTTACCAAGCAAAAATTTAAGATTGCGTCACTAAATTGTTGGTGGGGTCGATTAGACAAATGTTGGTTAGCGTTTTACCATCTAAACGATATTTCTAACATACATATAAAATTGGATAGCAATTAGTCCAGCTGTTTCCAATTTACAGATCTAATAAAAATCGACACAGATGACAGACAGACGGAAATGGAGAACGTATTTTTTCGTACTCTGTGGGTCATGAAATGTTGAGAAAACTTGTAGCCGTTCGCCGTATGAATCCTATTACAATACTTCCTTAGCTTAAGCTCGGGAAGTAAAAATCTAAATTTATGGAGGTAGATCGATGTATTTTGGTGATTTGTTTTGCAGTATCTTCAAAATTGTATTCTTATTCATCTAATTGTTAAAGACTATAAAATATTTATAACTTTTAACATGTCTTTATTGCCATTGTTAAGATAATTTGAAAATTGAATTATAAAATTAAACTTGTTTATTCATTGGATAAAATACTAATAACTTAAGATTCTTGTTTAGCATTAAGTCCATATATTCATATATACATCATACATAACTACAATTAAAAGAGGACATGTGTATTATTTTCAAATTTTTTTTTTTTTTCAACTCCTTAATATTTTTCAGGGAAACAACCGTACAACTATACAGGGTGATCTAAGTTCGATGGTACGTTGTTAAGAAGGCTCTAAAGAACTCAACACATAGTTAAAAAAATACTTGAACCAATTTTTTTTAAATATATTAAGGTTCAAAAATAAAGAATTAAAATTCCGATAAAAACTGTCAAAAATGACATCTGCCAACAGTAAAAAATGACGCTGGGGAGCATATTCGGGCAAGTTATTAGTAAATTATGTATTAATAACTAAGTAATTATTTAACTATCTATTAGACATACAGTGCATTAAAACAATTAGAATTAAGTACGGAGTTAATTCTTCAACTTTTCAAAAGTTTTGTGCAAAATGGTGTAACCATTATTTTGAGTTCTTCAGAGTCTTATTAACAACGCAAGGTGGAGCTTATACGCCATTTTTCATCACCCTGTATAGTAACTATATAAGAGGTTCTACCAGTTTGTGATGTATGACAACGCAGAAAATATGATTTATTTTGATTTAGCAATGTCAAAAAAAATCACTAAAATAGATATAGGTACTAATGTTTCATGTGAACTATAAACAGAACAATTTATAAATGAGACTATCGTGTTTTTTAATAATGGTGGACTGTAATTGTTAATTTTATTTCCCGATCGTAAGCTAAGGAAGTATACTAATCGAATCCATAGGAAGACTTACCATTTTCATATATTTTCGACGTGTCTTGACCTCTAGAGTACGACAAAAGTGATCTTTAGTTTCCGTCTGTCCATCTGTGTGTCGATCTGTCTGTCTGTCGTGCGTGTCGATTTTAATTAGACAGATAATCTTCGAAATTACCGAATCGACTGTTGTAAAATTTTACATGTATGTTAGGAATATCATGTAGATGGTTAAGCGCCAACTAAAATTTGACCAATCAGCTCCACCACCAATGGGATGACGTCATGTCCAAAATTTATAATCGTAAGTTTTTTTAAACTGAATGAAATAAGATACTTTTGCATTTATGGTGTATGAATCCGTGTCGAATTTTCACCCTAGACATCCAAATTTTTGGAAAAAAAATCGGAACTGTATAATAATATTTTACAATTTAGTTTTGAAATTGTAAAACTGAATGCTATGAAATCTTGTAAATATTTTAAGGTTATCATAATCATGGTAAATCGTTAAGCAAAATTTATTCGTTTATCCCCTCCCAAAAAATTAGTGATGTCATCTCAAAATTTTGCCGAATAAATCCTCTCTGAAATATGCAAAATATGTACTATGATTGCACACTTGTGGTTTATCAACGCACTCATAGTTTTTAGAATTATTTATAGTGGGTGACTCAAAAAATTAATGAAAGAGCTAATTTATTTTATTGATTAAATCAGGAACTGTTCAACCGAATGCTTTGGAATCTTCCAAATATGTCTGTTTATTCCTCTCAAAGATTAATGACGTTATCTCAAAATTTTGCCTAATAAATTTGTGTAAAATATGATGAGTCCATAATTGTAATTTATCATTGCATTAAAAGTTGTTAAATTTATTATACAGGCTGACTCATAAACATTAATGATCTATTTAATTGATTGAATCGGGAACGGCTCATTCCATTTTCCCGAAAATTTGAGAAGACAACACTCTTATTATTAGTATTAAACTTCACCTATCCAAAGTGATATATGATATTGCAAAAATGTTGATGATGTCATCACAAAAACTCATTTGATACGTACGCGCACCACGCTTCTTTACATTTACTTTAACGTCACTACATACTTTTATTTTAACTTATTTTTCATAAAAAAATAAAATTCGCATAATCAAATTTTATAACTTTCGAAAAAGCTGGATTTGTTATATTGTACTTCAGGGGCGAGGGAAGTTCTGAACAAACTAAACAACTAATGGGAACACGTATATCTTTATCTGTAAAAATTGTGGAGTAGTTAGAAGCCTCACGCAAGACTTTGTACAAAATTGTATAAATTTGTAAAATTTATAAACCCGTTAAAACATGTAATAAGTATATAAGTTATAAAGAGATTAGTTTTCACACAGGAAATGATTCTAGATTTCGACGTTTATTATAGAGGTTGCCAACTTTTATTTTCTCGATTTGTTTTTTTATTGTAATTTATTTATATTGTTGTTTATGCCTAACGTAACAAACAAGAATATTTTTGTAATTTAATATAATGTATGCTTATTCAGCACTGTAAAAGGGTCATTCTCATGAATATCTAAAATTATGTTTTGTAGAGTAAAACTTGGCCTATTAATGTTTTTAGAAACTGATGATGCCATATTAAAATACGATGCGATTTTTTAAATTTCTGCTCTAGTTTGCCATGACGCGTACGTCAGTAGTTCAATCCAAATGGCTGACGTAAACGTCAACGTCATGGCCAACTACAGCAGAGCACCCGATATTATTAATTAAGGGCATTTTACTTTGAGTGGAAAGCACTACATATTTTGACACTGTGGCTTGATAACACACATCAAATGTTTCAATGAAAATCGTACGGGCACTTATTAACAGTAGCGAGTAACAGTATTTTCCTGATCAATGACAATTTGATGCAGTACTATTTTATCGAATCACAGTAGCTGAAAATCAAATTAGGTTTTTTCCATATTGTTTTTTTTTGCATTTTTTCCACATTGATTTTTTACTCGTATAGAAATATTTTGATTTCAAATCTTTGACACGTTAGTCAGACATTATTTTTGGTAATATCGTGTAAATTTCCTATCTTACGTTATTTTTAAATTGCACATATCATGTGAACTGAACCACAAATAATATCTTTGATATTTCTTGCGATTTATATATATTTTTTTATTTACTTATTGAATTTCAATACTTGCACACAGAACATTTTATTTAACAACTCAAGAAAGTTTTTAAAAGTGGGCGTTCGTGCACGCGCTCGCCATCCCTCCGGTGGCACGCTTAAGTTACATCTTTCCCCAACTTACCATTTAGTAAAACGCAGACATTCTTGTGAACCCTGAAATCTAATCTAATCAAATTAAAACAGTATGCGATAAGACGGCAACAAATCGAAAACAGACACTCCATTGTCGGTCAATATTGTGGTATAGTGAAATCTGGTCCGATCACTAGTCCTGCAGTCATCTCTGGCGAGCAGTAGTGGGGCAATTTCATCATCAACACCATTCAGGGTGGTTTGTCGCGCACTCTTCGCATTCAGTAGCTTTCAGCTCACGTCCTGAAAAGCTCGCTCCTGAAACGCGTGTGTGCAGTGCTCAGATCGTACGAAAGCTCGCGCGCGAATTGCTTTTCAGTTTTCAGGATGACTCGTGCTCAAGGTGTGAACATTCTGTGAAAATGACGAAGAGGAGAGGTTCGAAACGGAGAGCCGTTGATAAAATGGACGGTGAGTTAATATTTTTTTTTAGTTTAATTATAAAAGGTTATATCATCGTTTAGTTGTATTCGGATTAACGTGTTATTCGTATTTGCAATTGGCCACGAATAATGAATGCTGTTATTTTTGTTGACTTGCTTTATCAAAAAAAAAAACTTTTGATCTTTTGTCCTACGCACTGTTTCTAACAGTGAACGTAAAACAATTCTTAGTAATCTCAAACTAGACACAAGCACTAAAGTAAACAACATGAAAAGACGCAAATATTGAGTAGGGGTGAAGTGATTTTCTTCGCACGTTCTTTGACATTTCCATCAAGGGAAAATGTTCAATCATCTGAAAAAAAAATCGCGCGTTTGCGGAGGAAATTAAAATTGGGTTAAAAATATGAGGTTCGCGAAGTTTTTACGCACATAATATATTTTTCCGCGTTGTGCCAATACTAGGAATTTTATAATTTATAAAATAACATACTAAAAAATGTTTTGTAATAGTTAACAAAACTGATAGTTGTATTATTTATAAAGCATTATTTGAGTTATGTGTATAACAAATTTTCTGCTTTGGTTAAACAGTTACTTGTCAAGTTTACATTGCGTGGTGTTAATAAATTACAAATTACTAATACCTTTTTCGTACGAAATATAAAATTTTTGTAACGTTTAGTCAAATTTTTTTCAAGAAAAATGTGGCAAACTTTGAAAACGCCATGGAATTGATACCATTGAAAAATCGCGGCATATAAGTATGTATACTACCAAAACAAGAAAACATTTTTCTATTATGTATTCACATCACATATAGCCTTTGATTTTTTTTATTAGTGTCCTTGATTGCTTACATTTATTTTTTTTATTTATATGTAAATAATAATCAGAATTTTAAAATATTTAAATGTAAATAAATATATCACAGTTCGTTATTTTTGTTGATATCCGCTTTCCTAAAATTTAATATTGCATTGACAGGAGATACGTTCAATTTTAATAACATTGTATCAACAGCCTAAAAACAACAATTTACATATAAAAATATCACAATAATCAATAAGTTTTTTCAGAAATAGTTAATTAATTCATAAGAGAACGGTAAAGGTATGCACACTGCAATCCGCATTTTCTGGAATTTAACATACTTGTAAAAGCGTTTCACGTATTTACATTAGTTGAACTATCAAAAGAAATAATAAATCATCAGATAACCTTTACATGCATCTATATGTGACATTTACTAATTTATCAGTTACATTTTGGATGATATATTGTAATTCTGTCGTTTTTTTTTTATCTCTTTAAACTTCACTGCAAATCAAACGATTTTCAATTACATGCTTAAATAAACTGTTTGCCATAAATTCTTACTATCTTTACAACTTCCGTTGGATTATTATTTTCTATTGTATTATGTGCTATTATTGCACAAAGTTGTACTCATTTGAGAACGTAGAAAGATTTTTAAACAATAATCGAACACTTAGCAACTTCTTGTTGCAGCAAACAATCAGCGATTAACGGTGTAATAGCTTTTTCCGGAAAATCACTTTGCGTTTACTATGTGAAGTAGTACCGGAATGGTTAGAACCTGACATCGAAAAAATAGAAGTTGCTTAGAAATTGTTCGTTGTTAATTATATTGTATTGTTAATTACTCTAAGTAATCTATTCATTAGTTAAGTATTCTTAAACTGTTTAAACTAACCAGGTTTTAAAAGACTTTTTTTATTTTTGCTATTTATGATGTAAAACAAATAGTTTTAGACAATCTTTGTGAAGAAATTTTTCCTTCAAATTACGTCAGTACAAATTAAATGTGGCATAGGTGAAATGTAATAAATATAAATTAGATTTAAATGTGAAATCATTTTGTTAAAATGGATACTCAAATGAAAAATCGGTTTAATTTTCAGTTTAGAAATCTTTTGGGAAAAATTCAATTTGTACACCAAGAAATCAAAACAGGTATATAACGCAATTTCGCAGTTTGATTTGTAACATTAGATAATAATTTTCCTCTAACACTTATACAGCACGTGACTAGTGTCGGCGAATGCTTTATAGTCATGTAAGTATGGCTTCAAAAACTGATAGGAAGCAGATAAATAAAGTATATTAAAGTTTTAGGTTTTCTTTAACATTTAAGTATGTATTAACTGATCACTAATCAGTGATCACAATAAAATCATATATAGTGTAAGTCATTATCATACGCCACAACAATATTTGAATATTTTAATAACAGTAATTTCATTTTATGACAAATTATGAGCAAAAATGTTATTTTATGTTTTGGGTCATTTTAGACGAAGAAAAATGATGAGACAAACTGCATAGTTTTACTGAAATATCAGAAAATTGTGTATTCGTTTAAGTAATAAATTTACAAAAGATCAACAGAATTCTGAAGTTCTGAGGTTAGAATAATCAAAATATATATAATTTGACAAAAAACTAACAAGCTTTGTTATGTGAACAAAGTTAGTAAATGCTTAATAGTTTGGTTGTGGTTTGGTGTTTAAACATTTCGGCAGCAGTTTACACAGTCTCGCAAACGTGCGTTTAAAACTGTGCTTTAGGCATAACAAACGCATCGGCATTTTTTTTGACAGCGGGCACTAACTTAACAAATAAGTAAGTTTTATGTTGTGTTATGTATGTTTTAAAACCGACTTTAAAATTCATATATTTTTTTTCTACACACAAGATTAAAAATATTGATAAATTATTAAATCACAGGTAAAGGAGTATGTTGCAATTATCAGTGTCAAGTCAAGTGTGTGAATAGACATTGTGATTGAAATTTTATCATCTACACGATAATCTTCAAGTGCATCTAAAATTTCACAGTAATCCAGTCATTCTAGTAGTTTTACAAATTATCCATTATAAAAAGTCAATAGGTAAGACGACAAATAGCAGACAGACTAGAATGGCAAATCGACATTTTCATATTGTACAAACTGTGAAATGACGAGTAAATAGATCTACATATCAATTGAAATAGTACTCAAATTAAATTTTTTTCTGAAAAAAAAAATGCTCCTGTTAGGAGTTCTAAAGTCTTTGGTTTTAGAATGAACAGTTTTACAATATTTGATAGAGTTTCACTGACTAATAAGAAACCTCTGCACCGAACATGTTTTCTTTAGAAAGAAGTTTATTTCTGAATTTTGTAATATTGTGTTTGTCATCATTTATTTTGTTATTTCGAAAAAAAAAAACTTTTTGTTCACTATACAATAAAAAATACAACTTCCTGTTTCTTTTGCACAATATTTTCCACTATTTTTGAAAATTTTTAAAATTATAATAAGTTTTTCTAATGTATATTTAACTGTTCTTATAATTGGCATCAGTGTATAATTCCCAAAAAAATATATTTTTTTATTATTATATACCTAATAGTAATAATATTGCGTGCTCTGTATCAGTCGGCAATAGTTTAACGATATGAACCGTAGCAATAAAAGTCACCATACACGAAACATGTAAATTTTCCTCACATTGTGGTTAAGAATCTCGAAAATATTTAAATGAAAAAAGTGCGCTTCTGATCGTTGAGGCAAAAACCGAAGCAATAAATGAGATAGTATTGAGCAACAGTAACATATGTTTTAAAAATGTGTTGAAAAAGTAATGTGAGGTGTGCTGTTGGTAATTATTATGAAACAACCTTAAATGGACAATATAAACAATTTTATAGAATGATAACGCAAAATAAGTAAACAGATACACATATATATTGCTTTATGCAATTATAGTGTCGCAGTCAGTGGTCATGTTCTTTTATATGGATGAATAAGCGATTAGCGAATATTACAATTCATCCTCAATTATTTGGAATTTTAACGTTTCACTAAATTCATATTTTTGTCTCAAGTCCATCATTTTAATGAAAATGTTTGTTATTTCCGGTCCAAATAACTAATTCAAATTATATCCACTCAATTAATAAGTATAGATTACGCTTATCTGTAATAATGTTCAGAAAATTTTAAGTGGGTTTTATTTGTTCCTGTTGTCGCACTCGAGAGAATGTAATAACAAAAAACTTGTTTTCAATCTTAAGTGAAATAACAATCACTAGAGTTGATGCAATTTGTCGCAGGGATATTGTTTAAATCGACTCGGATTTGATGTTTCAAGGTTAGCAAATAACCTATATCGGATTCAAAAGCTTTAATTAAAAAAAGATAATATCGACCGACATTAAAAACAGATTTCATTCTTGCTTTTTAATATCAACGTGAAAACCAATCACGAGTATTTAATCCCTGAAAATATGAGTTGATATTACAAGGTAATGAATGCTTTGAATATTAATTTCGTTTTTTCGAATAATAAATTCTGCTAATAGGATATTGTTGATATTTGAATGACATTTATTATCATAATTAACAACCAAGATAAACTCGGATAAGTGGAAAATCGGATAAGTAATTCAATGAAGTTGATGGAAATTTTAGATTTTTATTGTGCAAACTCCTACATGTGTGATACATTTTTACCATTATATGCGTCAGACCGATCGTGTTCCTTGGAGGGATTAATATGACATTTTGTTCAGTTCTCCTTTGGTAAATAATACGAGCCGATACAAGAAACTGTAAATTAATACATTCTTGTTGATCGAGGAAGCGAGCCAGTGAAAATTCCTAGGTAATATGTATTTTGCATCGATTATCTTACATTATTATTCTACATATATTTAATAATTGAGTTACGCCCATCTCCGCCTAGTAAAACCTCTTAATTATGTCTGTTACGTTAACTAATCAATAAGAATGTTTATTAGATTCGGAGAATCTAAGAGACTATCACAATATTCATTAGACGTGGGACGATATAAATGACACTATTAATCTAATCGAACAAATCATTTTAGACTAATGGGAATACGATTGACAAACAAACTTAAAACATTTTTATAAATTTCGTTACAAGTTTATACGAGACAAGTACAGTTTACATCATGGTAATTTTTTTTACCTAACTGTTATCAGTGTTTATGTC